ATATAGTGTATACATATATACTCAATATACGTATTATCAGTATATTGTCAAATTTAAAGTATGTATACTGTATAGGGAGTGTTTGAGTGAATATCAGTGAGTATGTCTTATGTATAAAGCGGGATTTTTTTAGGAAGGAGGAAACATATATGCCTTTATGACTTATGTATCATATGACTATGCGTCAATGATTGTATATAAAGCGGGATTCTGTTAAGAACGACGAGACATGCCTTTATGACTTGTACTTATAAATATAACTATAAGACCGGTTTGAGTGCTAAAATGATCTAAAATGTGTAATAGAATATTTGATTACAAAACAACGTTTCATATATCTGCATGCATTAATATTAATACAATTAAGTTGATAAAATTAAGCGAGAATATCAGGATACCTTATTATAGGAAATTAACGATGCACTTTATTAACGCGCATTTTAAAAATTCGCGTTAATTTAATTAATGTTAATTTATGTCATCGTTAATTTTAAGTATGTAATTTTGATTTATCTTTAGTTAAAAAGACATTGATTTGTTTTATATAACACTAACTCTTCTAATATTATATTAACGTAAACTTACTAAAAACATCAGTGCTCCCTTCAAATCAGTTCACTATCCGATTCGCGTTAAATTTAATTAATTTGTCAACCATGGAGATCAGATTCGCGTTAATATAATCATGTTTTAAAAGACGTAGAAGCAATCCGCGTTAATTTGATGTCGCGTTAATTTATGTCGCGTTAATAAGTGCATCATTAATTTCCTATAATAGGGTGTACAGTTTTGACTATGTCTAAATAGACATGTATATTGTGTATATTTTGAATATGTATACTATAGTCTATAAACTATACACTATATACACAATATATATATATATATATAAACTAGCTATAGCAAGTTGATAAAAGCGAGATTTCGAGAATATACAGTTTTGACTATAGACATATTTTTCAGATGTATATTGTGTATAGTAGATGAGTATACACTGTAAAGCATATGTATACAAAATATGCAGTGCATACTCGTGGAGTATATTATGTAATATTCTGCAATACCGCGGTAACCGCGGCTTTAAGCCGGCTTAGTGCAAATTTCGCATTCCGAAATTTGGTTTCTTTTCGGCCTTTCATGTCGCGTCAAGCCAGATAGGCTAAAAATTAAACTTCATAGCCACCAAAGCTCGGTTCCAAAAATGCTTTGGTCTCTCCATTTCATTGCTATTAGATAACTTCGAAGAGACATCGCTGGCCGCCATATTTGAATATTTTGGTGGGAAATTTGACAATGCGAGCCTGCGCTTCCGGGAAGTTTCTGCATAGCAACCGACCGCCATGAGTTCATCAATGATCGCGGGCGTGGGTCACTGTGCGTGTTTCGGTGGGTGGTCATCTCACTGATCTCAAAATATGGCTGTTTGCCAGGAGTGAAGAAGGCAAAAAATACATGTAAGAAAGCTTGGAAAATCGTTTCGCATACCAAATTGTAAAACTTTTTGGAATTTTTAAACGTAAACATTTATAAGAATTGATATAGTATGAGAAATCCTAAAGTATAGGGCAAGTTTGTTTCAATTGTTTATGTATGGCTTTGTATTAATATAATAGACTTTGGTCTTGGTGTTCAAGTCTGTAATGCATTGTTTGCGAAAGTTTTTTAGTTAATTAACTTTTGAAGAAGTTCATGATAAAAAGGGAAGGAAATTATTTTCATTAGCGTCCTGTACGAATTATATTTATTTCATTTCAAAGTGCGAGTAGTAAGTTGAAGCTCGAGTTGAGGAGTTTATAAATATCGAAAAAAGCACTTAATTTCAATTCACATTTAAAAACGTTTTACGTAGAGTTTCGTTTTGAATTTTACATTAAAATAGAGCCCATATAGAAACCAAAATAATATACCTACTTATATATTTTAGAAACTGGTAGTTCTGTATTTAAAAGGGTTCAAATTTCATCTATTTTATGCAGATTTGTAAGTACAAGAAATTAAAAAAACAGTTATCGCGTTGCCATGATTACGCCAACACAGAAGGCTCGCATGACGTGGCAATGTTATGCGAGCCTTCTGTGTTGGCGTAATCACGAATACTTCATGTTGATACAATGTTTGGAAAATATAGGCGTGGGGTTATTGCATGCATGTATTTCTAGTTATATTACATTCGCCCACATACAGCGTACAGCAAATTTAGGAGAATATATACTGAGAATTGCGTTGCAAAATTCTGCGACTTCGGTTGGGGAAGCCATATCTTCAGGTTATTAATGGCTACTCATTCATCTATCTAAAACTGCAAAAAACAACGAAAAAAGTTGTCATCTCTTGCGGGGTCCGAACTCGCATATTGGGGTTTCTATACAGTCAGTCTACCAGAGAACCCCACATATGACTTCATAGGTGCTCCACCTCAGAAGCTGATCTGTATATTACTAAGGACAACGTTCATTCAGCTGCGGTTTGAGCTAAATACCTACGTCAGTACGGTGGGGTCAGTCTTCTATTTCATTGACAAGACAGTAGTGATTAGATATCGTTCTTTTTTCTGTATAGGTATTTATTTAACAGCGAAAGAGACAGAATTATCGGAGCAGTCTTGACACGAAGAGATCTGACTGGCAAAGAATTAAAAATAAGCGGCGGAGCGCAAGTGTGGCCCGAAGCCATGACTCTTGATTACCTGAACAAGCGAGTTATCGTTCTTATCCGGGCGGGTTACTTTGTTTCAATGGATTATGATGGTGGAAACAGAATTGAGATCCCTATTGATCGGTCACTTTATTCTGGTCTATTTTCCGAAATTGGAAGTTCGATGTACTTTCGGACAGAAATTGCGCCTATCATTGTTGAAATGAATGTGACCAGCTGGGATATATTTCGTTACGTTCGGTTAGTAAATGGCTACCCAATGAAACTTATTGTCGTGGACAAATCCCTGCAACCTGAAGGTAGGTTTACATCAGTAATATCGACTTGCAAGTTAATCTAGATACTGGTTTCATTTCTTCCTTCATTTATTCATTCATTTATTAATTATTCACTATAATACAATAAAACTGTACACTTAATCCGCAAATAGCAAATGCTAATCGAGGCGGATAGCGTAGAAGAAATAATTTTGTGAATTGGTAGAGCATAGTCAAAGATGAATATAGATCTTATTTCCAGTGTACAACATGCATGTTTGCGAAGCATGCCATACACTAGAATATTGCGTACCATTATTTCGAAATATTGCAAAACCTACTTCATAGATTATATCAAAAGAGTCTTGCTCTAGAATAATTACATACTAGTTATATAACTACATACTGTATAGTATTACATAAATATGTGTTATTATATTTTTGTGGATGCCAATTGTTTGGTCATTAATTTAATTGTCGTAGGACTATTAACATAATCATCCCCAGTCTCCAATATGTTTAAAAGTGACTTTTTAATTATTTTGTTAAAGTGTTTTTTCCTAGTTTACGTATCTCAGGGCAAATACTATTCCGTATTTTTGCTGCTAGTTTAGCAAAGGATAAGGTTTTTTTGTTCAGTCGTGAATATTTTATATCTAAGTTATAAGATACAGAATGTCAAGTGTTATGTGTGCGTACTTCCTTTGAATAAGTAAAAAGACCAGAGATTGTACTTGGAGTGGTATTGTTCGAGATATCATACATTAGCTTGGAAACTGCGCTGTAATAAAGCATATTTAGTGGCAAAACTTTTGAACTAATAAAAAGAGGGATAGCATGCTCACTCTATCTTTTGAAATATATCAAACGCAAAGCACGCTTTTGAAGTCGGAGCATCTTGTTCTGATTCACTTGGGTAGCTTGCCCCCAAACGATTATTCCATATGTGATATAGGGTAAAATAAGAGAATGATGTATTGTGGAGAGTAGAGTAAGGAACAAAGTGTCTCATTCGTGAAATTACGCCAATTGCCTTACTTATTTTTGAAGCAATGTTATCTACGTGGTATTTCCAAGTGAGATTCTCGTCAATTAAGACTCCTAAATATTTTACATACTCTTTATGTTCAATGGAAATTAGTTCATTTGAACTGCTATCAAACATTTTAATATCGACTTGATAACCAAGTTTCTTATTAGAAGGGTGGAAGATAACAAATTTTGTTATTTTAGTATTCAGTGATAATTTGTTTGCCGATAACCATTCACAAACGCTGAGCAATTCTCTATTAACAACTGTCTCAAGTGATTTTAACTTTTTGTCAGCGTATATTAAGTTAGTATTATCGGCAAATAAGCAAAATTTGAACACATTGGAACATCTATGAATATCATTTATAGCCTCCTCCGCAGGCATCCCACTGAGGAATCGGGTGGTGAGAAAACGTTTGGTGAGATGCCTGCCATAAATCGACACAAAAAGTTGCACTGCGCATACCGGCTCGCGCATGCAAATTTCGACAAACTCAAACTTATGAGGAGTAGGAAGGGCTTGCGGCAAGGAGTGAAGAAATTTTTGTTTTCAACACGATGGCTTAAAAGACGAGTAAAACTGTAAAATTATTATTATTATTATTATTATTAAATTGAAACCACATTGCAGCCAGAAGCTGAATTGCGTGGATTACATATTATCACATGCACTACATATAAATATATTATTAATACAATATTATAAAAACCCACCCAGGATCAAAATTCGATTAAAATAAGCATAAAATCTATCCTACAAACTTCCTACACATAGCAGGGATAAAAGAGTTATAAAAGCGGTTCGTGCGTGTAACGTACATATTAAAATACCGATTCGTCCTGAAAGAATAATCAGTCTCGTTCTTCGGGGGCAGCAGATGATGAAGTTTATGCATTGGATCCTTGATGATACTCGTAAAGAGTTTGTCACACATGTCCTCTCTTCTTTGAAATAGAGTAGGCAGTCTAAAATACTCAAGGGCCTCACAATATGTCATTTCAGGAGATAAAATTTTTAGCACACGTTTCTGGACAGTCTCAAGTTCGTCTGCCAAATACTTTGGGATGGAATGATGGAAGGCTTGCGCACAATACTCGAGCACAGGCCTGATCACTGTACAATAAAAGTTCAAGACATCATTGACATTTACGCTTGCCCGTTTCAATAATACTATAAAATAGAGGCGTTTATTAGCTTTCTTTATACTCTCTCTGATGTTATCTTTCCACTGAAGTGTGCCTGTCATAACAAGACCCAATATTTTTGCACTCTCAACTATAGGCAATGCTTCTCCACCCACCAGTACAGGATCAAAAGGTTGTTTAATTTTTTTAAAATCGATTCTCAGTTCTTTACATTTCTCAGTGTTAAGAGATAGCCCATTTGCCTTCGACCAATCTTCCACAACATCAACTGCGACTTGAACACGGCTCTCTGTGTCCTTACTAACTACTTCAGCAACTGTTGTGTCATCAACAAACTTCCACCTCGATATATCACAAATATCAAGATCGTTTATCATTAAACAAAATAGCCAGGGCCCTAATTTTGTACCTTGAGGGATACCGGAAAGTACATCTCCCCACTCCGAATAACAGTCATTGGATAATTTCACTCTCTGCTTTCGATTCATCAAAAAATCGATTGTCCAGCGAGCAACCGCACGTGGAATAGCTAAATTGGAAATTTTATCAGCCAGTAAAGCATGATCGATAAGGTCGAATGCTTTTCTATAATCGAACAGGATGACTCTGACAGCAGAGCCAGTGCCATCAGTAACTTGCGACCATTCATGGATCATAGATATAACAGCGAGAGTAGTTGAACTTCTTGGTATTACTCCATATTGACTTGGATCGATTATACTCATGATAGCTGGAGCAATGTATTTTTTAACAACACAGTCCTCGGCGATTTTCGAAATAGCGGCAGTAAGTGAAATTGGTCGTAACTGCTTACAAATGTCGCTAACGGGCTTAGTTTTTATGAGGGGCACAATGTTGGCAAGCTTCCAAGATTTAGGTAGTTGTTGTTCGGCATAGCTGCTGTTTAGCACAGCGCATACTGGCTGTGCAAGGATTTCAGCATATTCCTTAAGAGCCCAATTGGGAATTTCGTCAGGACCTGACGCCTTTCCACGCTTAATTGCTTTCAGTAAATGAAAGACTTCCAATTCGTTCACTTGAAAAGAGGAATAATTATCAAAGGGGGGAAGGGTTGACAGTGGATTGAAGGAGTTCATGGGCTCCAACAAGGCGTTATTAATTAAATTCGCAATGTCAGGACGTTGCATATTCTCGATATCGTCTAAATGAAGTTGACTACATAGGTCATCGGAGCCGGTTGTAGGTACCATACCAGCAATCTGCTTCACCTCCTTCCACCATCTCTTCGGTTTTGTCGATTTAAGATTCTTTACTTTTGAAGAGTAGAATTTCGCCCGGCATGTCTTTCGCTTGCGGTTAACCCGATTCCGATAATACTTGAACTGAAAGGTATTTCCACTGCAGAAGGCAGCTTGACGCTTCCTTATAAGCTCTTTAAATTCTGCAGTAATCCATGGAGGATCGTGTACATGCAAAGCCGTTTTTTTTATTGGCATAATGGTGCTAATACCGAGACGTACTAACTCTTCGAAATACTGGAGTTTCATTTCGCATGTGTCAAAATGATTCAGAGAGGACCAATCGATAGATGTAAGGTATCTTCCAAGCTCATGCCTTTTACTAGATCGTAAATCTCTACTAGAGATAATTCTTCTACTGCATGACTTGGGTTCTCTTTTACAAGGATTGACAATCACAACATTATGATCTGAAAGACCAAATGGCGGAAATTTTTCGACAGAGTTCTTATCATAAAACGAATGTAAGTTGGTTATTATTAGATA